CTCCCCACCGAGCCGTCCGAAGCACCTACCCACCACATTTCCACCGAGCCGGCCAAAACACCTACCCACCACCTCCCCACCGAGTCGGCCGAAGCACCTACCCACCACCTTCCCACCGACCTGGCCGAAGCACCTACCCACCACCTCCCACCGAGCCGGCCGAAGCACCTACCCACTACCTCCCCACCGAGACGGCCGAAGCACTTACCCACCGCATCCCCACCGAGCCGGCCAAAGCACCTACGCACCACCTCCCCATCGTGCCGGCCGAAGCACCTACCCACCACATCCCCACCGGTAGGCCAAAGCACCCACCCACCACCTCCACACCGAGCCGACCGAAGCACCTACCCACCACCTCCCCACCGAGCCGGCCGAAGCACCTACCCACCACCTCCCCACCGACCCGGCTGAAGCACCTACCCACCACCTCCCCACCGAGCCGGCCGAAGCACCTACCCACCACCTCCCCATCGAGTCGTCTGAAGCACCTACCCACCACCTCCCCATCGAGTCGTCTGAAGCACCTACCCACCACATCCCCACCGACCCGGCCAAAGCACCTAACCACCACCTCCCCACCGAGCCGGCCCAAGCACCTACCCACCACCTCCCCACCGAGCTGGCCTAAGCACCTACCCACCACCTCCCACCGAGCCGGCGGAAGCGCATACCCACACCGAGCCGGCCGAAGCACCTACCCACCACATCCCCACCGACCCGGCCAAAGCACCTACCCACCACCTCCTCACCGAGACAGCCGAATCACCTCCCCACCGAGCCGCCAAAGCACCTACCCACCACCTCCCTACCGAGCCGGCTGAAGCACCTACCCACCACCTCCCCACCGAGCCTGCTGAAGCACCTCCCCACCGACCCACCACCGAGCCTGCCGAAGCACCTCCCCACCGACCCGACCGAAGCACGTACCCACCACCTCCCCACCGAGCTGGACGAAGCACCTACCCACCACCTCCCCACCGAACCGGCCAAAGCACCTACCCACCACCTCCCCATCGAGCCGGCCGAAGCACCTCCCCACCACCTCCCCACCGAGCCGGTTGAAGCTCTCCACCGAGAAGACCGAAGCACCTCCCCACCACCTCCCCACCGAGCCGGCCGAAGCACCTGCCCACCACCTCCCCACCAAGCCGGCTGAAGCACCTACCCACCATCTCCCCACCGAGCCGGCCGAAGCACCTACCCACGACCTCCCCACCGAGGACGCCGAAGCACCTACCCACCACCTCCCCACCGAGCCGGCCGAAGCACCT